AGTTGCAGCAATGACATCGCCTATATCACGCATCTCGCGCCACATTCATTCAATTTTTCGTCGCATTTAATAATAATAATAATAATAATAATCTTTATTCACCGCCAAAACTGGCTGAATCATTTGAGTTTTAAAATCATTTGTAGTAATCGTTTGCTCACATTGTTTACAATGAGTGTTGGTAAGCCAACAACTGGATTTGGTACACAACCCACACATGTCTTGTATCGATCACGTCGAGTTTGTTGTGGAAATCGTTTGAAACACAATGGACAATGTTGTGATGTCATGTATTCATCGACCATTCGAATGATGCAATTGCCACGTTTCATAATGGCCGCAAGCAGCTTCCGTGTGCCTGGACATGTTTCTTGATCTTAATCGGCGAATTAGCTGGTTTTGATCCGCTGGCTCCCATGTAGAAGATTGATGGTTGATTGTGAACCATTTTGCATGCCGTCTTGTCGATTGCACGAACCGATTCGATATGCTTGTCCAGTCCCAAGCGTGCATACTGTTTGGTTGAATATGTTTCAATGCCATCATTCATTACACGTAATCGATGTTCAATGTATGAACGCCATGATGGTCCTATTGGCGATGGCATTTCACCAATCATAGCTGCAATTCGATTACGATCGGCTTGCTCTTCGAAAGTAAACAATCGTGTGATTCGTTCGAATTTTGCATTACGTCGGCCTTGTTTCGCATCCCAGTGATATCGTTTGCTGGATATACGCAAATTCACCTAACAAAATGAAAACAACAAAAACAACATTGTATTCACAATCACAATCACTTTCACTCATTATTAAATGGCAAATTTACCTCTTCTTTGGTATGCAAATATCGTCGTACGGAAGCGTTCCACGTACGCATACCCGGATCACATCCAACAGCATATTTCAACTCGTTGCTGTCATACATTGCCTTTATTTCTTCATCTGTTGTCTCGACTAGTGGTACTTTCGGTTTTTTTGTACAGCAACGATACAGATACGCCATCGGAATAAATTTGAGAATCAAATCCCTTTTTGTTGTGCACAAGTTTGAGAATTTTCTCCACATCGAAGAAT